TAATACAAAATATTACTTGGCATTGCACTATGCTGAATCTTAGTTTCTTTCTTTCCATTCATACTCCTAATATCTTTGGGTAACTTTTTAAGTTATATTTCTGTCTCACTACTATTCCCACTGTAGCATTTGTGAAATTTCATTGGCATGAGGCTTACTGCTTTCTTTCAGGTAATAGATGAATATATTTAATAATATGGAAGCTAGCACTCATCATTGTAGGACTCCATTATACTCCTAAATGCACTGTGATATATTGCCGTTTATCATTACAATTCCTCATAGGCACTGGAGTGTGATAGAGAGCAGTAAGATCCCAGTTTGAACAAAATGCCTACCATATTTAGGAAAGTATTTCTGCATAGGCTTGACTTTTTAAGTATATACTTAAATTCCTTGCTAAAAGGGATTGTTTTTTTTTTTTTTAAATGGAGCTTTTTTATGTGCAAGCTTGAACACCATTTGTGTGCCATTGTATATTTAAAAATCGTCTTCATGCAAAACAAAAGACTGTCTTTGGGATAAAGTAGACTCCAGATGCCAGTTCTACTTCCAGCTTTCTTTAAAGAGTTAAGCAACCAGCAAACTTTCTTAGAGCAGACGCACATGTTTTCCACGCGCTGCTTATTTCTGGAACGCGTTCGGCTTGAACCGATATTCCATTTTGCTTTCAACAAAAATCTGTCCTTGCTTTATTTTTGTCAGGACTTTTTAAAAGTAAAAGACCTTTTAGCAGACAAATTTTTAACAAGATAGACATTTAGTTCAATAGGAGAATTTTCTCGGTGTGAAAAATAAATTACAAGAAGGACTGTGCTTCAGAAAGATAATTAATAAAAACCTTCTGTGTGATGACAAATTTGACATCTTGTCTAACGTCTGGAAGATAAGAAAGTGCTTAGAATTGCACAGTTAGAATAAAATGTTCCATTTCACGGCAAGGCCAGGGCTCTGTCTTATAATTATTTCAAAGAGAGTAAAGGTCACATTCTGTTTGCTAAGTTGATGTTACATGAGGCCTGTGTACCAGCCTTACAGAAGTTAACTTGAGGCATATTTAGATTTGTTCTGATTTCCAAGCAAACTTACACTGTCAGAAATCTGATAGGCTGAACATGTCTTCCGAACATACTGACAGAGTTGATGTCCAAAGCAGGATTTTTTTTTTTTTTTTTTTTTTTTTATAGCTCTGCAAAATATGAGTTGTAACTTCAAGATGCCAGATGCTGTGGGAGATCAAACTATGATTTGTCTCTTCTTTGCCATAATTATCTTTGGAAGCAAATTCCTGTTTGTAATTAATTTTTAGCCTGCCCTTTAATTATGTGAATTCGCTGGGATTATTTTTTTTCAATCTGGACTCATTGTGTAACTTTTGTTAATTCACCACTTGTGTCCCGAGGTGGGAGTCTAGAAGGAGTGGCACACTTTATTCTGCATTTGCCTCTGCTTCTGCATCCTCATTCAGTGGACATGTGTCAATATTCAGTGATTCAACTGTGCAGGAAACGTACACATTTATTATTGCTATGATTCATCATTACTATGATTATGATTATTTTTGCATGCAAATGGTCTATTTACATATTCAGATAGCGAGATGGAAAGATATCAAATGTTCATTGAATGTCCCACTTGCACACTTTTGAGTCCAGGCTTTGAAATATAGCATTAGTATAGTTATGTCCTCAGGACTGAGTGACCTTTGGAGGACAGAGTAAGACCCTGGCGGCCGTATGCTCAGCTGGTGTAACGTTGGTGTATTTCCATTAGTTAATTGCCGTTCGATTGATTTGTGCCATCTCTCAATCTGAGACTAGGCCCGCATATGGCCGCTAACTGAGCATAGCTGTGGATAAACATATTTGGAAAGTAAGGGCTGCAGCAGTTGTATGGGAAACCTGACAATACAGTAAAACGACTTAGACCTTGCTTGGCCTATTATCTGGCTCAGTCTCTTGTCTCTTTTATAGTTTATTACTTTAACAAAGGGACAAATGTAGCGCAGGTCATTAAGGATGAGAAATGTGTCTGTCTGCTACAGTTTGAACACTGCCAATTCAATTGTCACGAAACATTCTGGCTACTGCACAAAGTCTGCGTGTACTTTTTAGCCAGTCTTTTACAGCAAGTGTCACTGATGTGAAATAGACTCCCCAAGAGTCTGTTTCTGTAAGAGGAAATGAGACTGACCAGGTGGAGATCCATCCTCCTCCTGCCTCAGAAGCCAACAGTGATTCTGCAGTGCAGCAAGGGAGAAAAGCAAGTTACAAACTCGAGTAGCATTTTGATTCTTTAACGAGACCAAACCAGCGGTGGCTAAGTAGGGAGCAGTGTGATCTTGGGCTGCTCACACTTCCGACTTGTCTTCTAAAGTCACACTGCACTGGAAGGACGATCTACGGTGGAGGAGGTTTATTTGTTAGAACAGTGTTCCCCCGTGCAAGAAGGATGAGGCCCTGCCTTACTGGCAAACAAAGGATTTGTACTAAGGCTTCACAACTTGGGGCCATTTGTGTTCAAATCCCATAATAATATCTATCTTCTAAAGAGTGATGAAGGTTGTGTGCCCACTCCCATGTGTCCCTTACTTGATTTTTTTTTTTTTTTCTTTGTGTATCCAGTTGAAGGAGGCATTTTGGATCTGATTAGTTTAATTCAAAGGGATCCATCATTTATTCTGCATCTCTGAAAGTCCATCCTAAAAGGTACTGAGTTGAGAATTGCAATAGCGTAACTAGGGGTCGGCGAGAGGAGTACTCACTCTGGCTGCCAAGTTAGGAAGGGCGCTGGATTTCCTCCCCTCTCCTCCCCACCCGAGTTCATGCCCTGGCAGCATACCGATGCACAGAGCCGACCATAGGGGCAAAACAGCTTGTCTGGGGCCCCTTAACACTGCGTGGGTCTGTGGTACCCCTGCAAAGGGGAGGGGGGTCCCCGTGTTTCATCCCTGCCCACCAACTCCAGGCAGGTCCCATGGGAGGGGCCATGCCCACTCTACCCAGCTCTGTAGCCCCCCCCCCCCCAAAGTTTGGGGCCCAGGGTAGTTGCCCCGATTTTTGCCCTACCCCAGGTACAGCTCTGCCCATGCAGGTGACTCCAAAACAGGCACCGGCTGCTGCTGCTTTAACAACAACAGCTGGTGCATGCCAATGTGTGGCAGAGGCAGCCGCTGCAACAGCTCTGCCAGGAACTGTTTAGAAATTCCCAGCGTGGGTCCAACCGGCGGTGGTCCTCTTGGAAAGGTGCATCCCCCCATGCTCTTGGAACGGCATATCCCCCTGCTCCTGGGAATACGTGCCTGCCCCCGCTCGCAACTGCTTCCCCTCTGTTCTTGGAGCCACGTGCCCTCTCTGCTCCCTAGGATTTGCCCGGGCACCAACTCTGCTCATTTTGCCCCTAGGGAACTACAGATTCCTGGGCAATTTTAAACTAGGAATGACTTCTGAAAATTAGGATTGGAAAACTAAATCTGTCTTCCTCCCCCTCATTTACTCCCCTCTTCGCCCTTTCCCTGATCTGTTTAACTTTTAAACTTTCCATAACTGTTTTTTTCCCCCCGTCTCACTCCTTTCTCAGGCATTCTTACTCCCTCTCTGCCATTTCAAACCTGCCAGGAAAAATAGCCTTTCAGCTTGTTTGTCTGTATTCAGTGATGGAACACAAACCTTCAGAAACAGAGATTGGCATTGTACCTATTTCCAACCAATTTTATTTTGCTTTTAACCTTCCCCCCCACCCTTGCCAATGTGTTCCTGTGATGACAGGGAGCTTTGGTGATCACATATGAGCTGTATTTAACTTTAACCTTCAGATCCACCTCCAATATGATGCACACATTTCATTTTCAATCTTCGCTGGGGTAAACAACTTTTTGATTATGGGGAAACCAGGCAAACTGTGGCTTGAAGGTAAAAAAGAAAAGGAAAAAAAAAGACATTTCCCATCAGCTACCAGAGTTTTTATAAAGGGAACTTCTGTGATGCAGCATGTCACCCTTGAGTAGAGGACTTTCCCCAGCTGAGAGCAATGCTTAATTAGAATAAGCGTAGAGGCTTTGATTCAACAAGTTGTTAAAATACATTGAAAGTGTGCTTAAATTAAGCACATATTTATACAGTATTGTGTCTGCTAATGCATGTAAGCATATACTTGCAGCGCGTTACTCCATTAAAACTTATGCATGCGCTTAAAAACAAGCGCGTGTGTGTTGGACCTTTTGGATTTGAGAATTTATTGACGTGTAGATTTTTTTTGCAGCTCTCATATCTGCCTACGTGTACAAATCAAAGATTTTACCCAAAATGATGGTTAGCAAGTTTTAAAGGCAAGGTGTGATGTGATGGATGTCCTTTTGTCTGAGTCCAAATCCACTATCATTCCCAAAACCCGGTGCGATCAATGAATAAGTGGATGTTAAAAGTACATTTTGTTTGTTTTTTCAGGTTCTGCTGCTTACATTTGCAGAAGATTTAGGATGTGTCCCTGGATTCCAACAAAAGGTTTTTCATATTGAACAGCCATCTGAATTCACAAAGGATCAACCAATTCTGAACTGTAAGGAATGTCATTTTCATATGTCAGTTTTGCAAAAAATCTGTATTAACCACAGTCTGTGTGTTCATGTTGCACCCTGACTCGATCAGCATTTTCTTTCTTCTGACAGGATTCAATGCACAGCTTTCATTGCTGTGCTACAGTAGCTCCCCCTGCTCCTTCTTTTCTCCGTAATCATATATTTATACAGGTTTTGACTCTTTCTATGTATTAAAGTTGACAGTAGTCTGTAATTTTATCCGTTGTGGTTCAGATGTTTACCTGGGAACTCAGAATCATTTTCTGATTTTCCTTAATGAGTTGCCTCTGGATTTTTTTTTTTCCTGTTCTCATGCCATCAGTAATCAGAGCTTGGCTGCAGACAAGGCCCTTGATTTGCATTTCATTACAAATTCACTGTACAGGCATGATCTGAATTCAGGCTGGGGTCCATCCAAAGCCTATTCAAGTCCATGAGAACCTTTTCTGTAAATGTAATGCATTTTAGACCTGGTCTAAGATCACTAGGGATTAAAGACTTTTACCATCTTTTCTTTGACCTACTCCGTTCCCGTTATGGAGGCCAATCGCATTTCTAATGGCCTGGTGTCCACATCGCAAACTTCACCATTAGGGCTGGCACTAATTCACAGCATCATAGCAGGTACGCTGGAGACTGAAACGGACTCTAGAAATTTTTAAAATATTTCCACCCAAGAGTTCATTTGTGTGTGTCCCTTAATGAGGCAGTGTTGCAAAACTTGTGGTACTGCTGTTCACTATGTATTGGTGCTGTCTTGTGGATTTGGGACTTCTGGGCTGTCAACCAGTAGGTACACCACTACCACACCCCACATGGATTTTATAAATCATTTTTAAAAGAACTTTTGACAGAAGTAGTAAATGACATTATTTTGGCAACAACCAAGTGCGACAACTTTTTCCCGTGATTTCCATTACTAGCCACATGCTTTTAGTTACTTTGTGTTTGATTATTGACTGTTTAAAACAGATTATTGAGTCAAACCATTCACATGAAAGTAAGGTTCACTGTTTGGGTTAAAAACAACAAGCAACCAAATTCAGTTAAGGAATCATTTTTCCCTTCCTCCTTACCTATTTATTTAAGATTTATAATATTGTGTGCCAATGTTTTAGCCCTGTCACAGTTTGCCAAGCTTCAAATTCATGTACTAGAATTTGTGCAGTGCTTTAAACCTTGACTTGATAAGGAGCTAATTAAATCAAAAGAAGGCTCCTGTCAACTTGATATCAAGTTCTAAAATCCAGTTTTGGGATAAAATTCTCTGAAGTGCTTGAGTGAGTGACATAGGAACTCAACTTCCATGTTCAAAAGTAATTTGAGTCATAAACTGTACTGCCTTTCAGTAATACTATGGGTGTGTCCACATGTCACCCTACCGCGATGTTATGCTGCTGTTATGGATGCTATGTCACTGCAGCGATCACGTGGGCCTACACGTGATTGCCAGCTATGTTGCTGTAGGGGCTTTCTCCCCCAGTAAAGCGTGCCGCTACCGTGACATAGTGGCGAAATCTAACCGTGCGCACCCAGCCTGAGCTATGCTTTAGTACTTCCAAAAGGAAGTACTAAAGCAACATCACCGTTGGCAACATGTAGACGCATCCTAAAAAACCTGAGTAGAACTTGGCTTTTAAATTTTTTACCTTGACCGTTTGAAAAATGATTTTGAAGTAAAGCACAAAGCTAAGTTGCTTAATTTTTAGAGGTTCTGAGTACGTTTTTGGCTTCCATTAGATGCAAAGCTTCATTTCTGTTAACACAAGACCTGCAATTTATTGAACGGCCCTGTTGGGTTAAATAGAATGTGTGCTGGGCATAGCATGTGTTTAAACACCTGAAGATTTCCTGGCTCAAAAAACCAGTACTATTCATACGTAAAATTTTGATTAATAGAAATAACCTTGTTGTGTTTCCTTTGGCTCAGTCTGAATACTTCTTTATCTTAGCTGCGCGTCTGACCAAATCTCTTGCTTGTTTGTCCTCAGTCCGTTCAGCCACATAAAGGACAAGCTGTGTAAGTCACTGTTGATTGGACTGCTCTGTGGTGACCCAGCAAATTGTACTGATGTGAAACTGACACAATAATTAAGTCGTCATCGTTAATATTAGGATGGGAGGAAGAACAGCAGGAGGTTGGAAATGTCTCAAAACAATCTTGGGAATTAAATTATTTTGATAATCAGACACTAAATTGGCATAATATGTAATGTGCAACAAAAACTGTTTGTTGATACGGGATTCTAGGTAATTCAATTGCCTAGAATCAGCGTGTCCAGGATATGGAAATATTAAAGCTGAGTATAGTTTATTTATTCTCATCTTCAGCAGAATCAATATTTTGAATTGTGCCTGTCTGAATACACGTTGCATCATGCTGTTGCATTTTTTTAATACCCATTACTCAAGAGCAGTGTAATTTAACAGTTGTATCTGAATGTGAGGCCCACTATGAGCGTGTAAATTAATAGAGCCAGTATGCAAAGCAGGTCTATAACAGTGATTGCCTTTGTAGTATTCAGTAAACCAAGAAGCTTTTAATTCTGCACTGAAGAGCTGGGAAACAATCATACGGTATTTGGGTTTTTTTGATCTTTTTAATTTAAACAAGAACATATCATACATTCCATTGCCAAGGTTTCCCCCAGTAATTAAGTATGGGCTATAGCTGTTTCCTATGTATTTAGTAGTTAGCTGTAAATGGAGATATATTCACTACACATGGAACTTATTGGGAAAAGAAAAGAGGCCAAAGCTAGAGGCACTTACTACTTTTTATTTGTACTCTTGCTGGAACAATAAAAAAGTTGTGTCAAACAGCAAACTTTTAAATATCTTCTGCTGAGAAATGCAATAAATACAGGTAGAGACTAAAAAAATAAGAGAACTGTAGCTTTTTATCTGCATGAGAACTGTTGTAGAAGGCTACCAAAGAAAGGGATATTTATATTAAAATATATAAAACATAATCTAAGCCAAGAAATGGAAACCTGAAAAATAACATGGGATAGAGATTAAAAGCCCAGGTGAAGGAAGAGGGATTATATTGGAGCTAATCTAGGTGGATTCACCCTAAAAATTAAAAGAATATATTTCCACTAAGTTAAAAGGAGCAAGTTTATTTTTGTGCTTTTAAAAACATTTTACTTTAATAAAAATGAAGTGAATTTTGAAGCAAAACATGATTCTTTTAAATTAAAAAACTGTTTTGTTGTTAGTACATTTTCAAAGGAAATATTTCATTTCTGTGATTTACTTCTGTTTGGTTGACTGAAAGAATTTGGCAAGTTCTATACATATTTTGTACAACGTTCTTGTTCAACACAAATCTGTATTTTTTTTAATTTATTTTTTAGTGAAGATAGAGTTGGTGGGGGAAAAAAATTGCCCAGCTCGGCTCTTGGAAGCAGTGTCTAAATTGCAGCAGGAATTCATGAAAACATCAGATCCAAAACCCTGGTCTCACTGAAGTGAAGTGAAATTTCATGTTCTCCTTTACACAGTTCACTAAACTGTGGTAAACTTTACCAGTTTACTTGAGTAAATTTTAAGGTTCACTTGGAACCTGGATGAAGAGTGAACAAAAACAGAGCTTTCTTCAGGCATTTTTTCGCATTAGTGCAGACTCGACGATTTGTTTGGTCAATTCTGTGTCTTGAGTTGAAAAGACGATTATTGTTCGTGTTTGCTTTTTATTCAGCGTGGAGTCTACAGATGGCCTGGCATCAAGTGTCAGCTATGGAAAAATGAGAATAACCATATAGGTCAAAGTCAGTCTTGGTATTATCCTTCTGTAATAAACCTGATAAATAATCTGAAATGGAGTTTGATGATATCAGTAGATTAGAAAACATATTCTGAAATGGTCAAGCTGGGCATTCAGAACATTTTTTTTCCAGTTTGCTTTCTTACCCTTAAAAAGATGCAGCATGCATTGGTTCCAAGTGCTGAGAGGTGTTGCACATAGCCTTAGCTTGTCATGACCATTGGCAAAGTATGTAGTTTGTGTTCAGAGTTGTGAAATTCTGCCAAAGAATGGTTGTAACACTATATCCAGGAGCCAGGGCAGAGATGAATATTAGGCTGGAAGCTCTCTCCTTGTGTGAGCTACATATGGTAGGCACAGTTTGAGAAGAATAATAGCTATTGGCCAGAAAAATGGGATAAGGAATGGGTGTGAATTAAATGCATATGGTGCATAAGGAGAATAGAATTAGGTGAACATAAGAGTGTCTCTATTGCATCTCTAGCATGATCCAGCAGGGATGCTCCTCAGCACGCTTGCCTATCCACTCATATGCTGCATCTCAAAATGTGCTGGTGAAACTGCCTTCCAGACAACTCTGTGATCATCCCTGAAATGCTGGTCATGGGTATGCTTTAAAAGCACCACCAGAGTGGTTTGTGCAGTATACTCCAGGGTGGGTATATATGAGCAGGGGAAGGTGAATGGGGTGTGCAGGTGAATGGGGTATGCTTGGCCTGCTGGACCTACCCTGTGGATAAGAAGACATGCAGAGAAAAGGTCACTGGTATCTTCAGTACCTGAGTCCCACCCTTTCTTCCATTCATCAGTGGAACTAGGCCTGTGGGGCTCAGGATAGAAATTATACATAAACTGGTATAAGTGATTGGAAACCAGTTCAAAGGTGCAACATGACAGAAGTTCAGTGCGTATAAGTTGCTTTCAAAATGGCCAAACCGGTTTAAGATGAACCTGAATGGATGTAGTATCAGACTTAATGTTTTTTTTTTTATATTAAATCAGTTTCTTGAACTTCTGTCCCAGATCCTTTCCAGATTCAAGTTAACCAGCTTCCCAGGAGACTTTGCACCTCCTCCACAAACCTCCTTTCACAGGGTGGGTGGGCTAATCTTGGGCCAAGCTGTCTGCTTCAGCCAAGCAGGGAAGTGTGCTCTAGCGCCCTCCAGCTTCTGGCCTGGGCCACTGCAGGGATGTGGCTGCATTTCTGAAATC